GCAGCAGTAGCGGAACGAGTCTTGGTCGGCCTGCTGCGCTGCTGCGATTTCGCGTGCTGATCTGCTGTTTGGCTAGCCCTGCTGCCTTGCTTGGGAGACGTGTATGATTTTGTTTGAGACACTCGTTTATCAGGCGGCGTTGGGAATAAGGTTTTGTTTGGCATTCGTGGCAAGGGATCGCATAGTTAATCATCAATCACAAATTCTCGATAAGATCGCCTGTTGGAAAATGTTGAAAAGCCAAGGAGTCTATCCTCTATTTCGCTCCTTAACTACCCACCTGCCTCGCTGGCTTACGGATGTATGCCTCTCAGCCGTCCGACTCCCTTTACTTTGATTTCTCTCCTATGTGCCAGCATGACCGTCCTGATGGCTGACCTGTGTGTATTATTCTTCGTTCTCTGCGTCGCCATCTACTGCGCCAGGTCCCGTTGCAGATGGCGCGGGCCGATCATTCACTCGCGGCTCGCGGAACCCACGCATGAGTGTTTGCGGCAGGAACACAAACCACGGCACCAGCACATCAGCCACCGACTTGATGAAGGTAACACCCATGGTGAGCTCGCACACCGTGGCACGTATCTTCATGCCAGACTGCAAAAAGTACAGAATGTGGTCATCCAGCAGTACTTCACGCTCTGTCTTGTCGAGTTCCTGCGCGGCAGCCAGAATGCCAGTATCATAGCCGTCCTCAATCACGCATGGCTTGACCATGGCTATGCCTATGGGCTGCAAAGCTGGATGACTTGAGGGCAGGCAGACGGATCTGTACTGCTGGCGGAGTTCCTGTGACGGCCGGTTGACAGAGATGATTTCGAGGTCACAATCCTCCTCCTTGAAGACCCTGACGGATTCGAACTCTCTACCGGCATCAAGTAAGTTCGCAACCTGGGTGTCAGTACCGGCAAGCAAGATTCCAGTAGCGAAAGTGGTTCTTGCGTCAAAGCCTTCGACTCGCTTGAAAGAACCCATGGAATCCCTTGGGACAAACACGTAGTCGTTACAGAATAGTTCAGCGGCCGCGAGACCGAACTCACCGGGAAATGCGATCAACGCGTGATGAGCCTTAGGCAAGTCAACACGTGCTGTCAGGCATTGAGCTAGTGCACTTCGGACATCACCGTCGTACTCAGGGCAGACGCCGTGGTGAAGGATGTAGCGGAGAAAGTTCTCAACCACAGCGACAGCCGCGTTCATGGCTGGATAGTTCTGTCCTGTGAGCCTCGGCACTGCTTCGGACAAGTACCCGGCGACAATGCCAGTTGAAGTCAATCTCCCAGCGCTCAGGTTCGGCTTCGTTGTAAAATGTAGAATTTTTGTCGCAGTGGATCATGTCCACGGCAGTGGGCGCGGCGTACTTCATCTGCGTCCATATCCTGGAAGTCGGGATTGGTTTTCGAGTTCGAACCAGATCCAGTGAACTGACGCTGCGCAGTGTCGATTCCCCCGAGAAATAGGTAAGCGTCGAAGTAGCCCGTCATCTCTGTGTTGAGGCGACGGCGTGCACGGAAACGCTGGATGCATTCCTCAATGCGGCTATCTTGTCAGCATCATGCTCAACTCATGTCTGCAATAGGTTGTTTTACTCAATGAACGGACGGTGCCTGGCATAATCAGTTATTTCTTCTTCGATTAAAGTCAAGGCAATTGGATAAATACGGTGGATAGAGCTCCTCAGCTTCTTCTCGGGCTTCATCAGGCGTGACAGGCGGATCGGCGTAGTATGCTGGCCCTCGTCAGCTCTGTCATGCCTCCTAGGGAGATATGACACCTAGTGCCTTACTTTCAAAGCCAGTTCCACGACTCCTGGTGAGACCTGTTGGGCCTCGAGCAGAACCTGATTTGCTCCTGTTCTTCTTGTTGGTTTCTTCCACCTCACCAACGTCATGCTTTAGCTCAATGATTTCGGCAAAGCGGCCCTGGCGACATTTTAGGTCACCTTTGTCGGGAAGCTGCGCCATGTTGTTGGCAGGGTTGGTGTAAGTGGCTGCAGAATGCTAAAGGTAGCGCACCATGCGTGATAGTGGCAGTCAAGAGTCGGTCAAATTGAGGCCCTCGCACTACGCTTTCCTTGAGAGACGACGTAGTTGGAGAGAACTATCTTGGGAATGGTGCTTGTGCAGGGTCAGGTCCATTTTGTGGAGGATACTTATT